AACAAGGTTAAATTATCAACAACAGAATCAGAAAACACTACGAGCTGAAACATATTGTGGACTAGCAGATTATTTATCTGTTGCTGCTAAGGAAAAAGATGTTGTAGTAGGGTATACTGTTGTATTAATATCAAGCTTTCCAGGTAGCCCAAGAGCAATGCAACAAAATTATCAGAATGCAATGGCAATATGCAGAATATTTGGCAAACCTGATATTTTTTTAACAATTACATGTAATCCATCCTGGAAAGAAATTACTCAATCACTATATCCTGGTTAAATTGCTGTTGACAGACCAGATATTGTTGGCAAAGTATTTAAACTTAAGCTTGATATGCTAATAGAGAATTTATTAAAAAATGAAATTTTAGGAAAAGTTGTTGCTTACACAAGAGTAATTGAGTTTCAAAAACGTGAATTACCTCATTGTCATATGTTATTAATTCTTTCAGATAAACATAAGCCAAGAGATTCTGATACTATTGATCAAATAATAAGCTGTAAGATACCAGATTCTACTTAGCATCCTCGATTATATGAAATTATTGCAAAAACAATAGTTCATAGTCTATGTGGTCATCTAAACCGCGATGCACCATGTATAAATGAAGATAAATCTACATGTATTAAAGATTATCCAAAAGAGTATTGTCAAGAAACTATTTCAAATAATAATGGATATCCAAAGTATTGTCGAAGAGATATTGGTATATCAATAAAGGTTGGACGAACTGAAATAAATAATTGCTAGATTGTACCGCATAATCTATATTTGTTATTAAAATATCAAGCTCATATAAATGTTGAAATTTGTTCCTTAGTAAAAAGCTTTAAATACTTATATAAATATATTTTTAAGGGCTATGATTGTGCAAAGTTGCAATTAAAAAATATTAAAGGAAGCAATATACAAGTACTTAATTATAATGAAATTTCAACCTTTATAGATTCCCGATATGTTAGTGCACCTGAGGCTTTCTGAAGATTAAGTGAATATAAAATGCAAGAAAAATCCCACACTATAATTCAATTACCTATACATTTGCCAAAAAACCAAACTGTTTATTTCAATAATGGAAATGAGGCTGAGGCTCTTGATTCTTTGCAAGCTCAAAATACAATGCTAACTGCATGGTTTGAATTAAATAAACAGGATACTGATGCTAAAAAAATTATATATCATAATATTCCATTATTTTATACCTTTGATACAAAAACTAGATTATGGAAAAAACGAACACAGTATACAGAGAAGATTATTGGTAGAATGTATACTGTTTCACTATCAAATATAGAACGATTCTCTCTCAGACTTTTACTTTTATATACACCTGGTTCAAAAAGTTTTCAGGAACTTAGAACTATTCATGTATATCTTTTCATGAAGCAGCTTTGGCAAGAGAATTACTGGATGATAATAATGAATGGATTAAATGTATAGATAAGGCAGCCCAATGGCAAATGCCAAAAGAATTAAGGCAACTATTTGCATTAGTACTAATTTGGAGTAATATTAATAATCCTCTACAACTTTGAAATCAATATAAAGAACATCTTTGTGAAGATTTTATCTGTTATAATAGTATCGAAGTTGCTTTATTTTTGGCTTATCAAAATATTAATCAAAAATTAGCACAATTTCAAAAATCTCTTGAAAAAGATTTTAATATATCATTACCACTAATTCATGATACAATTAGCAATGAAGAACAAATTGATAAAAACCAAGAATATGAAATTGGTAAAAAAATATATGCTCAATTAAATAATGCCCAATGAATTATAGCTGATAAAATTATAGCAGCAGCTAATGGACAAGATGATAATAA